GATCTATCTAAATTGTATATTACTATAGGTGTTGCACTTTACATTTGATTTAAAAATCATACTTAAGGAGGGTTGGTGTGCCTCGGTCAGCTTGGTACGAACGAAATCGCCGTAACAAGGCGAATCGGCTCGTTAAGGCTGGAATTGAGCGCTATGCTTGCTACAGCAGGCGGACAATAGCTTGTTATTAGTAGCACAAGCAGCGGAGTGAGGATGAAAGTTATGATTGCGAGTCCGAGGCCAAACACAACAGACTTTATGTTTGAAGGCGGCAGATCGCGCCTATCCTCCGAAAGGATTGCTGGGGATTGTGGTCGCTGAGTGCCTCGTATCATGCGATTATCTGAGTCGAAGAAAGAGCATAAGTTCTCATCTGAATCGATGAAATCGTTCGAGTCCATTGCGAGGTAAGTGACTGGAGGTCTCAAGCCCACTGTGGGCGATCCTGGGCCTCGACTGTTGATACCTTTCCTCTTCGTTGCCAACCCGAGTGGTGTCCACCGTGCTAGATCAAACCACACTGTGATCACAATCGCAACGATCCCTTGTGTCACCAGAGCTGCAACCAGCACATTGGTGGCAGTCCTAGTCTGCTGAATCTTCATGACATTATTCTTTTCGTTGTCCGAGCTCCAACCGAGCTCGTATCGGTGATGGTAGCTTCGTACAGTCACCACATCCATCGCAAAAGTCGCCAGGGAGAGTACGCACACCGAATAGATCACGGCAAACCGCCAGAGCCGCTTGCACACGAGCTTTGTTCGCGACCAAAACGGGATACCTCGTGTGAAGCAGTCCATGCATCCATTCGGTGCAGTGTCATTCCAGCACGAGTGATTGATCGCTGCGTCAAATAAAGAGAGTACCACAACCTCGAAGCTTATCACGACGAAATCCTGCACTATACCCAGCAACACTCCATAGATTCGTATCGGAGTCGTGTCGTCGTCAGGAGTCGTCGAGGTCTTCACGAGAGCGCTGAGGTTGCTCAACCGAAAAGTCGAAAAGAAGCTGAACTCGGTGAGGTATATGAAGAGCCAACCGACCCACGCGTGTCTGTTAATATGTGCGTTAACTGCCACGCTGGTGCTGCGTAGTGCCCATAGAGGGCCAGACCTCATGATATTTGGAAATGTACAAGTGGCCTGAGACTTCATTGGAAGGTTGCGATCCGTGCCAAGAAAGATACTGAGGAGAATCATTCACAAGAGACAAGAGCACCAACCTAGCCGTTGGAAGCACACAGTGGCGTCAGACCCTGTGCAGTCCAGTATTTAAAGGACTCATCTCACCAGAAGCGGCCAGCGACACAAATGTGAAGTGACAGTTCCGCTGGACACACGAAAGTGTTGAAGTAATTCTGGACTGTTAACCACGAGAATCAACCATCGTTTACGCTACAGCGACACACTGGGGGAGGGGGGGGGTAGTTGGAATTACACTTCCACATGTCAAGATCGTCTTTCTTGAAAGGTGCTGTCATATCTAATAACCGAACCGTGGTCATGTTTCGTCTCGCATCTCGACGATCTGTTCGACGACCAAGTGTTTCGCTTCTGTCAAATGGATGGCGAGTGTCGTGATCAATTAATAATTCACTTGACCTTAGTCCGTGACTCACTTCTAATAAATCACGAAACTCGGTTTTCAATACAGTACATGTAGTTTATAATGCGACGCTTGACCACAGTTCAGAAGGAGCCCGCGAGTAGCATTACGAAGGCAAACTTGGCATTTCGAATGTCTTACGTATGCTGCTAAACTAGAGCGATTGATCACAACTAGCGGATCGAGACATACGTTGGGATCTTCGACCGAATGATAGCCAGAGCCTCCCTGCCGCCATTACTCTCGAGAACAGCGAGTGTGTCCTCAACTTCGACACGTAATTTCTTGGTCAACAGCTTGCGGTGGATCTGCTGGGTGAGCTTCGAGAGGAAGCTGTTCATCTCACCCTCCACAAGATCCGACAGCAGACGTGTCGCCTCTAGTCCCATGAGGAACGTGTCGTCATCCTTAGCCATTAGTGCTCCTCGCAGCGGCACGATCACTTGAGCCAGAATTGGCAGCGTCTTCTCACGAGCATCTTCTAGCTTCAGAAGCTCGCGGAACGTAGCACGAGCGAGGAACACAAATGGATGCTCCGTTTCCAAGAACCCCTCAGCGCACGTAATAAGCAGTGGGTCATACGATAGCGCTGCAAAACCACTCAGTAAGAATAAAGTAGTTTGGCAAAAATATAGTTAGTAGCCCAACCTACTGTTGGGATCCTTGGTCCATTGCAAAGAATTGCGGATACTGCCGTGGTTGATTCGACATGGAATCGATCCGGAGTCATATGCGTTGGAAAAATTCCTGTCATATCATGGGAGCTATATAACTGTCGCCGATTGAATGAATAGGATTTGAATGCAGGCTTACGTCTTGTATTTCTTCCTTCCAGAGGTGAAAACGGAGGCCTGCTTATGCTTGTGCAACGTCGACGAGGGTAGTGGATGTGCAGTCGCTGGTTTCTTCTCTTCGGTTGCTGGGGATGCAGATGCACGTGTTGACGATTTGGCTGAGGACGGAGTTGGCGTACGTTTGGATAGTTCCACGGTTTTCTGGTTGGAAATGGTGGTGGGTGTTGATGACCGTGTCTTCTCTCTGGAGCTGCTGGAGCGCGATTGACTCGACCGACTGTCACTTCTGCTCCCTACGTTATTGTTACTGCTGCTGCCTTCTGTCTTATTGATCTTGGAGTTGTTACTACGATCAGTAGCTGTCTTGAACGCCACAATTGGGGCCATGCTTACTGAGCTTCTCTTCCTTTGTGCGGGTGGTTGTTTTACGAAAAACAAGCAATCTATCTCGATTCTTCCTCGCTATTCATAGAGCCGAGTCATCCCCCCCCTCAACGCTCTAGAGGAATTATAGCAAAATAGAAGGCCACCCACCTTTCATCATCATCGTACAGAAAGCTAATCTCATCAATATTCATACTTAAGTGCACACGAAGCTAAGTCTATCCAAAGACAATCCCTTATAAAAGGCAACAGAGCCGATTCATAGGTTCCACGAGCGATAGTAGTAAAATTCCTCGTCTGCTGTGTCGTAATAGTTGACCCATCCGCTGCCGTCGGGTTCCGAGTTGGCGAAGTGTTCCTTCAGGACCAACTTGACGTTCTTGCCGCGCTCACGTTGCGTGATCTTGAGGCGGAAGTTGACTACGTTGCAGTTAGTCGGCACCGTCACGACCAACTCGTCCCTATCGACGTAGAATCGGCCACTGTAAACGCCCTTGCGCTGGCTGCGGATGTGCGATTCGACCTCATGCGGGGCCTTGAACAACATGCCGTACAGCACCGTCCCGTCCCGTTGGAACGAGAAGTAGCGGTAGTAAATGCACTTCAAGATCGTGCCGGGGACGATCTCCGACCACATACTCAGCTCCGGTTTCTTGTAGTACGACACCTTGAGCCAATAGAAGCCGTTGTAGCGCACACGTGGCCTGTCCTGGAACATGTCGAACCACGTCGGGAAGCGACGCAGCCCAAACTTGTTGCGAGCAGCAGCAGCTGCAGCCCTAGGGTTCTGTACGGGAAAAATACGTCGACAGAGCACTTCAAAGAGCACTTCAGACCGTGCTACCTGCAGCAATCTCTTGCATGTGCATGTGCAGGCTCCGATGGTGTCTTCGTCCAGCCACTTGAGGATGTCGATGAGCAGGATGTCGGCGAAGTTCAGGAGCGTGTGATCCTCATTGGGATCTTCTTCTTCCTCCTCCTCCTCATCGACGTCAACAGATTCAGGGGGCTTCTCCGTTGCTTCAGAGATAGAAAGTCGAGTATATCGACCCGTATCTACGCCATGCTCGTCATCGTCTCCGCTGTCTACTTCTTGCTGGTTTTCTTCCGGTTTTTGGTCGCTGGAGCTTGTTCCAAAATTCAATTGACTTAATTGCGTTCGCCCATGTACCTGACGGCGCTGCTGACTTTCTGACTGCAGGATTTCAGCCATAAAGTCTGGTCTATCATACAGCATATTCAAACAACCGTTTAGACATGGTTTGATAGCTTTCTTGCACATAATTTCTAGAGCAGACTGTACTCGAGAGATTCCTGAAGTGCGGCCTGTAGCGCTTCCTCATCGGCGTCCCGGTGGCCCGAGCCCTTGACAGTGGCGACGTCCTGGCGGTGCGGAGCCATGAGATCACTGGAGTTCCAAGTGTGAATCAGACGGTCGCCGCAAGCTCCGTTCCTGTGAAACATGATATCACGTATTGCCAAGGCGGTACGAACATTCGAAGACGATTCTCAGTAACACACGTTTTGTTTTAGAAGCTCTAAAATCTAGTCTAAAAACCAGTAGTACTATTACAATAGCAGTCCTATTCCAGCTACTGTGCTCGACCGAGTAATACATGTAGTCCCTTCCGAAATAAGTGAGATTTTTTTACTTGATCAAAACAAATTTCTAGATTTTTTTTTAGATAATGCCTACTTAGGTACATTATAAAAAGGTGTAATTCTTATTTCTCATGGGGTAGAGGGATTCTGACGAAAAAAATACTGAAAAACAAAATATATTTCCCAAAGTTTTAAAATAATTATTTTGCAACTAAATTTGGTCATGTACTCAAGTTTACGGCCTCGGGCCAATGGTAACTAAATATCATACGATATTTTAAATACTAATAATTCTATTTAAATTTATAAATATTAATAGTAGCTCATTCTGTTTTTAATTTGCCCTTTCGTGGCAAAAGCGCAAATGAACACTAGGAATCAGCCTCTTAAAAGGCGCATTATTCGCCATTTAACGGAAGTTCAACTATATGTTGCGAAATAGAATTAACAGTACGATTCGTGACCATTTAAGAATACTTTAATCCTGTCAAATTCAAGAAGCAGATTGCATCACCATCCTATCTTAAATATTTTGTCGCAAGATATAGCTCAAAAAGAGTACCGTGAGTTTGTTAAAGAGCGAGAAATGCCCCCTTTACATATTAAAGACTTCAAGTTGTTTACTATAGTCTATACAAGAGGCGCGCGAAAGGGTAAACATAATATTATAATATTAACTCGGAGATTTAAAAAAAGTATTAGATATTAAATGATTTTTTATGATAGTTCCCACTTAGGTACGTTTTGTCACCTTCCCCTCTGCTAAGTGAACCGAGGGCTCACAAAAGAACTCTTTCGGTCAGATTCTAGAACAGCAGTAGGCTTTAAGCCTGACGAGTATTTGCTCTAGTAATTCACTGTGATACAGACAAAGGCGGTCAAGATGGAAAACTGCAAACGCTTGCAGTAGTTTAATGTCAATAGAGCGAAATAAAGGCATTTGTTCTTGTTCTCTACCGATAGCCTCGTCGACGTCGGGCGTCTAATAAACATGCAGCCTGTAACGCTAGATTAATGCGCTCAGCAGTGCCAACACACGACGCCAACCTTGTCGTCACTCTCATAATTGTCCTGGACTCCATCTCTCTCACGGCCGATTAGTCATACTCCAGCTACCGGTAGTCGAACGTTAACGACATCTGGTTAGTGGATTTAAACAGATTACGCAATCTTTGAAAAAAATCGTACTAACTAATATTAAGTTGATTTTTAATAATATCATTTTGTCTCAGAAGAAAATATTAGGTGATGTTTTTATATTAGCTGGTCTACAGGTGATATTTTTACGATATTAACCTGCACACGGCCGCAAATTACGGTACATGAACCGGTATTTTTGCTATTAGACCCTAAAGCGAAAATATTTTATACATTTCATATATGTGATCGCTTATTTCTTAAGAGGCCTGGTTGTAATCGCCATGTAGGTATCCGATACTGGAGATGATGCTTTTCCCGCGAGCAAATTGCCAAGCACCTGCTGTTCAAAGTAAACACCAGAAAAACACAGTCCATTCAGGACCGTCTTAACCCCCTGGTTCCCAACGTCGTAACTTACGCCATAGCAAATTTAGTATGTCGTAACTTACGACATAGAGAAAGCAACAACAGAAAATGGCTCAAACCATACTTTATTCAAGTCAATTCAGGAAAATAAGATGGGAGAGGTAAATCAAAATTGCATCAGAAACAGGCCAGGCGGGAAGGGAGACGGAGGGAACGGGAAAGAGACACGTGGATAAGGATAGGATAGGAAGGTGTAACCGTGCCATTCCAGAATTTGCGCAATGGTGCGCATCCGGTCCAGTACGCGTGGCAAGACAGATGCTGTTGCTGCTGCTGCCAGGGACATCGACTTCAAGCACTTGTGGAGACAGCTGCGAGCAGTTGGATGGTCATCGAAGAGACCAAGCGGCATCGAGACGGAGTGGAGGTACGTGACTCCGAATGGCGTCGAGGTATTTGTTGGAGAAGATGCGGTCGTGATGCATGCGATAGAGTCCGGTTTGCTGGCGAATAGCGAGGATGAAGAAGAGAAGACCGAAGACAACGCCAGCCCCAATGGCAAAAACGTTGAGGAAAGTGATATTCGAGTATCGCAGATCGACACAGGAGCACAGCTGTCACAACACACACTTGATGATCTCTTTGGCTCCTCGAGTGACTCAGACGTCGAACTTTCGCAGGCCGCAGTGCCACGAGCGTTTGGACTATCATCGGGAGAGCTCGAAGCTGCTGAATCACATCTAAATGCAGCAACAAGCCTTCACTTAATGTCGGAAGCTTCTGGCATTGATAGTGAGGCTGAAAGAGATGACTTTGGCGCTGCACCCTCAGGCTCGAGGCTTCGTCCACTCTCCAACGTCAAGCCGGATGTTAACTTTGTCCCAGAGGATGAAAATATGAGCGCCTATGAAAGTCTCAGCTCTGGCCAGAGCGACAGTGACGGCGTGGACGACGGCGACGAAGATTCCCCCTTAGTGGATACTCCAAGCGATGATGATGTCGTATCGGACGCTGACGCTCCACAGATGGACGAGGCATTCGTCGGATCATTTCTTTAGGGCAAGATGGTGTCAACAAAAAAGCCGCGGAGGCAAGAGCTAACGCATTACGAGCAACGGAATGGTCTCCCGTATCGTCGGAGTTTGAGGAAGCGTCGCCCGCGTACCCGGGACTCAACGCAGAAGTGGGCAAGCCTGTACCGGAGCTACGCAGCGTCTGTCATTCACCACTTCTGACTATCTTCTACTATATGCCAAAACCACTGTGGGTGATGATAAACGTTGAAACAAACCGGTACAGTATGCAACAGATCGAAAAGCGGGCACAAGCAATACACGTCAAGCAGCTGGAGCCTAAACGAGAAACCCTCACACAAATCCGCCGGCGTTTAAAAGCAAAACCAGCGTACCAGACGCACGAAATCCTCCAGGTCCTAGGACTTCTCATTGCACGGATGTTATGCCCACAGAACCGCCGCCTTGCGGCACACTGGTCGATGACGGAGGACGGGGCAGTTCCGGCTGGAACATTTGGCCGGTTCATGGGTCGCAACCGCTTCCAAGACATCTTACGAGACCTTCACTTTGTGGACAACGAGGGTGAGCGTGCACGTGACAAGCTGTGGAAACTTCGGCCCGTTGTCACCAAGCTCCAGGACCGGTTCTGGCTGGATGGTCTCTTCCGGCAGTGTTCTCATTCGATGAAGGCGTTCTTCCTTCCACTTCTAAGCGCAATTCAACCCGGATGTTTATGCCGGACAAACCTCACCGGTATGGCACGAAAATATTTATGTTGTGTGATGCAATAACAGCATACTGCCACAGGTACTGTATTTTTAACTTATGTCGTAACTTACGCCTTTTGAGTTTCTGTCTAACATCTATGTTGTAACGTAC